CCGGCCCAGGATCGGCTGATTTTCAGGATCGACTTGAGAATGTCGGTTACGGTAAAAAAAACATGGTACGTACTGGGACCGGCCCTATTTTAAAAAAGTTGTTTTATAGCCGTTGCCTAACATTCATATGACAGTTCTTTCCATTTTTGGCCTTTTTCTGTTCCATTTACCCACTATACACTACATAAGTCATGTGGTATATCGGGAAAGATTCCAACTCACATACGTAAAAATTGTTCACAATTCTTGTTATAATTTGTAATTTCGGCTCGTATTCGACGTTATTTAACAAATCCAACTTCTCATCTCTCTCTCTCTCTCTCTCTCTTAAGTGTTAAAATAATATTTTTATATTCTTTAAAAGATTTCCAAAAAATTATATGTAAAAAATCGAATTAAAAAGAAACTTGGGCTGGTCTGGACCCGCTCGAGACCGGGATCAAACCGGTTCTCATAGTTGGACGCTAGTTATGAGGAAGCTTAAAGAGGCCTTCGGATTTTGTTAGGACGGGTCCTTGGACTGGTTATGGGAATAGTATCTGGGATTGGACCCGGTCCTGATCCAGGCCCAGGCCCAATATTTTTTCTTTCTGTTTTTTTTTTTTGAGATAATATCTTATTGAAATATAATTTAAAAATATTTTTTTAATATTTTTTACAGAAAAATGTACAAATATTTTTATAATTAGGATTTTCGAGGTTTATTATTGGAACATTTACAAAAACTTAAAAAACGTAAAAAGAAACTTGAAGCCTATGTTTAACTGGTTCTTGTCTTATAATTTGTCCCTGGTCGGGTTGTCCCTTGAATTTTCTACAAAAGTGTAATAAATAGTTATTTTTATGATTAATAAATAATTATTACTTTAATTTATCTAATAAAGTATTTTTAAGATTAAATTTGATTAGTATGTTGTATATAGGAGGTTTCAAATTATAACCATGTCATTCTTAAAACAAACCAATTAATTAAAATTATGAGGGTATCTTATTATAACTTAAAAATTGACTTTCATAATACAGATTAAGGCACTGTTTACCAAACGGTTACCCAGGTAAGCGTTTACCAAATAACATTACCTTAGTGGATGAATATAGTAAGAACCAAGAATCTTACCCGGTAAGTGAGGGCGACGACTCTTACCACGGTAAGTGTTTGCCGAGTAAATTGTTGTATATTATGTCGTTTCGGTGGACTAAAATCTTACCCGGTAAGTACATAATAGTGTTAATTTTTACCGATAAGCACTTACTGGGTAAGTGTTTGATAAACGCCCTTAAGTTGAGTTACATAATTTTTTAAGAGATTCTTCAAAATGTAGAAAATGGAAATCTTGACAAGTTTTGCTCCAAAACAGTATGAAATTCTTCAAAGTTGGATAATTGCCAAAAAATAATATGTAAAAAAGAACATTTTTTTATTATATTCTTGCTATAAGTAAAAGGTTAAAATTAAATGCTTATAAGAGATAAATAATATTTATAGAATATTTTAATATTATAAATATTGCCATAATCTTTAAAATGTAGAAGTTGCTATAAGTAAACGTAACCGTTTGGATTTAAAAAATTCCATCCTATTCATCCTGCTTTCTTCGTTTTAAAAAAGGTTTTATAGAATCTAATTTCAAAAATTTCGAAAAACTATTTCGTATTATAAATTTGGTTTTCATGAAACACGACACGGTGCACCAACTATCAAGAAATTTGATTGGTCCATGTTTATGTTGTGTGCTCGAAAAAAGTTTATGAAGGAAGGAAAAGGTGAGAAAAGTTGACAAAGCTCGTGTTTTCGAATATTTTTCCGGAGAAAATGAATGGAGATGGAAGAAAAGTAATCATAAGTCTTCTCTCCGAAATTTTCTTCCGGATATGAAAGGAAGGAGAAGAAAATATAAGAAATTAAGGGGGTGTATGGGATTGCTTATTTGAAACAACTTATGTTTTTTTACAAAAATCTTTATCAACTTATTATAAGTTATAATTATTTAACTTTTTCAAAAACTTCTTATTACCGGTTTAGTATTGATATAATCTGATTATCCAAACACTCAAAAAAATTTATTACAATTATCATACCAAAATAAGTCAATAATTTGTTTTGATAAGCAATCCCAAACATACCCAAACCCCGTTATTAAGGGATAATCTTCCCCAAAAAGACCGTACACCTGGCACCGGCCCATGCAACGAGTGGGTCAAACCGACCAAACCACCATCAGCCGCGGGTCCCGTCTCTCAAACAGACAATTGGCTACGAACTTGGTGAAGTCGGTAGATTCCGGGTCCCACCACACACCAAGACGGTATCATTGTACCTGCTCCATTTCTCCATGCTAGAACCTATCATATTTGCTCCAAGTGCTACGTGGTGGTTGTTGATTGGACCTAACAGAATCGAGAACGCAAACATAGAGGTCTCTTTCGGTGTGACGACCGACCACCATAGAAGTGGGTCCCGAAACAGTACAAGGTTCACGTTTTCATCCCACGTGGCGTCATGATATTGGTTAAAGCATGACAGCGTCCCTCCCTTGCTTTTATGCTTTTCCTCGACAATCTTCATCATCAACCTCGTTATCCCCCCGACGCCAACTTGTACACCATCACCTTTTAGAAAAAGTAAAAAACAGAAATCAATCATTTTATGTTTTTAACCTTGTGGATTGTCAAAAGTAACACTTTTAGTCCTTAACATTTGTTAAATTATAAGACCCCCATTCCGTTAAGTGAGGGGTAGTTATTTTCTTTTATCGATTTTTTTATCCAATCTAAAAAGTCAGGGGCCAAAATCATAAAATCGATTAAGATTAGGTAAAGATAAAAAATCGATAAAATGATGAAAAATACCTCTATTTAACGGAATTTTTTAACGACAGTTAAAGGTAGGGACCAAAAATAGGCATTTTTATAAACCACGATAGCCATTTTCTAATTTCGAAACTGCAAGTACGAAAAAGTTTGTTTTCGACAAACCATAGGACCAAATTTGTAGTTTACTATTTTAATTAATGTTTTATTGAATAAATGATTTTAGTTTGTTGCAAAATAGGTTATTAAAAAAGTGTCGTTGTTAAGCGTTCTTAAAATTATGTCTGTTTATCATTATCAGTATTTATACTTGGATGAAAAGAGAGTGTGATAACAGATTTTATAAATTTTGGGAAGATAAAACACTACTATACGCTCGTTAGATTAAAGCAGTTAGTTGCATAACAGTCCGAATATCAGATGAACAATCTTTTGTCTCCATCGTCAACCTCGTCACACCTTTTGCTTTTCGGTTTGATCACAGAGAATGATGACCGAAAGCTTGTCTATATGTCAATTAAAAGACTCGTGCATTAGTCAAGTGCACGCAAACGGTCCAAAAACTTATGATTACTAAAAAATGTGTAGGTTTTTTTTTTGTAATCGTGAATTTTCTGACCAATTTACGTAAACCGATTAATCTTCCAGACGATAATAAATGACTCAAAATCATCGTATATATATTGCATTTATAACTATAAATTTTTTGACAACGCTTGAATTCAAACCCGAAGTATTTTTCTTACATTCATGGTTTTGGGTTATAATATTTCACATTCAATGAATATTCGATTAATATTTAAATACTTTTATTTTATTTTTAATGCTTGTTAACCAATAATCTTCATACGCGTGTCGGAATGAGACCGCTCCAAAACCGTTGTCATTCCCAAAGGATATTTGCAGCCAACTTGTCAAGAATGGTCCCTAGACATTTTGATAACATCAAGTTTTCATATTTGGATTTTTTTTTTTTTTGATCCGTCAATCAAACTTCTTTTCAAAAATGGTCCTTTTTTCAACTTCTTTAGTCTATTTCAATAGACATGTATATAATGTAGACTATTAATATGTAATTCACAAAATAAGATAAAAGGGATTCAAATATTATAATGGGCATATTGCTTGAAAAAGTAACGTATTTTAATTTGATTCTTATTTTAGTCAACTTACTTTTGCAACTTTTATTTGGTACATAAGATGTAAAGTTTTAGACATTTAAATATCCATAAACAACTTGGACAAAAAGAAACGAAGTGGCTTAGAGAAATATTTTTTGTCGATAACCTCAGACCAATCAATCGAATATTGATTAATACGTAGTCGCCCTTTTTTCTATATTCCTGATTATTGATTAAGAAGCCTCTATCAACAAGATAAAAGATGAAATTCTTATTTTCGTGAAATTAGACAATAACTGGTTACCATGCTGATGTAGCGAGTGATGTAATGAAATTGGGTTAAATGACAAATAATATTGGGTTGGATACCACATCAATCACCACATCAGTATGGTAACCGGTTACATGTGTATTTAAATGTTTAAAATTTTACATATTAGGTACCAAAATAGAAATTTCGTAAATACGTTACTCGAAATAGAAATCAAGTTAAAGTATGTTACTTTTTCATGTAATTTGTCATATTCTAAAATATACATTCAAAGACATTTTTTTTTTATTTTGTCTACAAAAAGTTTATTATCTGTTTAAGATTTTTTATGTTTTGTGTTGTGGCAAATAATATGTTAGTATAATATTTGGATCTGGAAAATCAAGATAAGTCAAAAACTAACATCTAACATACAATAACTCTTCCAACAGATAAATTTGTGATATCAGTTAAGCTACAAATACGACCTTGATAAACTGCTAAATTTTTTAATAGTACGACCGAGTTCCTGTATTCCGACTTAGATAAAAGCAAAAAAAAATGTCGTGGACCAGACTAATTCCATATCTTGTTTGCGTTAAACAAATCCATGACCTGACCGTAACCAACCGGTTCATAAAAAGTTATTTTGAAAAGACAAACTACAAAAACCAAAGTTAAGGGGGCAAAAATGGAAAAAGTGAAATTATCAAGGACCATTAGTGTTAAAAAACTTCAAAACTCACTTAAAGTTCAACGGCATATTTCCATCTCTACTCCTATATAAACCCCCATAACTTCTCCTTCAGAACACACAATCTCATTCAGACATCCTCAAAACTTCCCATTTCAAACAAAAAGCCCTACCTTTTCACATAGTTACTGTGTGTGTGTTTTCTTCAATCCTTTTGCTGTGATCATGGCTGACGAAGTAGTTTACCATCATGCCCCCAAGACCGAAGACCACTGCGAAAGCACCAACGTCGTGAAGACGGAGAACGAAGATGTCGAGAAATCGGACCGTGGGTTGTTTGATTATTTCGGAAAGAAAGACGAAAACGACAAGTGCGCAGAGGCCGAGATCGCATCCGATTGCAAAGACGAAAACAAAGAAGAGAAGAGCGAAAGCCTCCTTGAGAAACTCCATATATCCGATGGCAGTTCTTCCAGCAGCGTAAGCTTTCGTTTTTCTCACCATTCGAAACAAACCCTTTTACAAAATCTCGATTCGTGGATCATCCACGATGAATACTTACGAGCAAGATGCTTTTAATGGAAATTACGAGTCGCTGCAACAAAATCAAATTTATAGGACGTAAAAAATGTCATATCCTTATAGATTTTGTGTCGTTAAAAACCTGTTAAGATTCCTAAAACCGTCTTATTGCAAGTTTGCAACACTTTTAGATATGACGTGATATATAATAGACTTAATATTAGGGTTTTTAAACATTTTTGTCGTCCTATAAACCGGATTTTCTTGTAACGACACTTTCGATCGAGTTTTGGAGTCGATTGTTTATGTTTTTGTACGTAATTTTACAGTCGAGCGAAGACGAGTGTGAAGATGGAGAGAAGAAGAAGAAGAAGAAAAAGAAAGATAAGAACTTGAAGGAAAAGGCCGAGAAGAAACTCGAAGAAGAGAAGGTGAAGATCGCTGTGAAGATCGAAGAGGGTAAAGAGAAAGTTGAAGAAATCAAAGAGAAAATCCACGAGAAGATCGAAGAGCACAAGGAGAAGAAGATCGAAGAACACAAGGACGACGACACATGCGTCGTCCCCGTCGAGAAGTACGAGGAAGCGGCGGTGGTGCCACCGTCGTCACACCACCACGAATCACCACCAGCACCACCATGTGAAGTTGTTGTCCACCCACCGGAGCCAAGCTGTGAACCTGAAGAGAAAAAGGGGTTCATTGAGAAGATCAAGGAGAAACTTCCCGGCGGTCACAAGAAGGCCGAAGACGACTACGCCGCTCCACCACCACCACCACCGGTGACAGCGGTGCCGGCGGAACACTACGTGGATGCTGAAAGTGAGCATAAGGAGAAAAAGGGTATTCTTGAAAAGATCAAGGAGAAGCTTCCAGGGTATCATTCCAAGAGTCATGAGGAGGAAAAGAAGGAAAAGGAGTGTGATTAAGCCTAAGAAAACATGGTTTATTTGGTTGGTGGTGTTGTTTTGATTTGATTTGATTTGATTTGCTTTGTGAATGTTTATTGCTTTCTAAGTGTTTTTTTTCCCTTTTTGAATAACATTTTCATGTTCTTGGTTAGGGGTATTTCTGGAATTTCAAAGGGTTTTATGCTAACAATTTGTGTGTGAATCTTGTATATGACATTCTAAAATTAAAACTATAAAAATATGACTTAAGTTTATAAGATCAAATCAAAAACATCATCTTTAAAAGTGTTACAATAAGTTTATATAATGATTATATACGTTTTAACAAGTTTTTAAGGCGTTCTGAAAATAAAATATTGTATTAATTATTTTATACGATATTATTTGAAGAAAAACGTCTTACAAACATAAATGTTCTATGAAAAGATGGGTTTATAGGATACTATTTAAAATTGTTTTGTAAAATATTTAACAGGACAACTCCAAAAAAGCGTTTTATAAACGTATTGTAATATCTTTAGATTTGATATTTATATTTAGTCATATAAACCTAAATCCTATAAAGTATTCTATCAAAACGTTTGACGTTTATAAAACCAATTTTGTTGTTAGTAGTCTATACTATATTATAAAACGTTTGACAAAAACTATTAAAAAACATTTTTTTTTGCATGAAGTATTGTTTATTGATACATTTTACTTAAATTTAAGATTACAAATAATTTGTATGTAAGTGCAACTTATTAAAACTCGATTTTTGAATTCGTGTAACTAACTACATATAAACATAATCAAATATAAGATAAATATTTCATTTTAAATATAAAAAGTCTAAAATATATTTTTATAAAAAATTATATCATTAAACCAAAAATACTATTATTAAATTATATTATTAAACCAAAAATTAGTTCGTTATTAATCCTAAATTAAATTATAATAAGAAAATATTGAATTAAGAAAATTATACATAAGAACAAAAAAATTTAAATAGTTAATTTGATATTAATATCAAAGTATTTTTTTTTTTAAATTTGTTTATGGTATTTTAAAATTTATATTTTATTCAAAAACAAACAAGAACACGACCAACCATTGTCGGGAGATTAGTGTGATTTGATTATTAGGGGGGACACTAGAACGGATTTTATGGACTTACGGACATTCGCAGAAGCCTCCTCACGGGCGTCCACAGTTTTATGTTTTGGTTGTTTCATTGTTTATCTATCACTTTCGTCAACAAAAACAACTAACCCATCTTGTTATAACATCCGATCATTTGTTTGTTGCCACTTCACATTTGGTTTCTTCGGGAGCGCTTCTAAACTCTTTGACGATGATTACGTTCTTCTGTATACCAATCGGAATTTCCACAAAGAAACTTTATGTAATATAAGACAATTTAGAAAGCAATCAAAACATGGCTTAATGGACTGGTGGAAAGTATTGTGCTTTAAGAGTTTAAGTTACGATTAGAGAAACCAAAGATCTCTTGGTGTCTTTTGTTTACAATAGCTTTCTCCTGATTATCTGTCTTGTCGTTAATGGAATCCTCTAAACCAAACCAAAGATATAAAGTTGTACTTGAAATTAGGACATGGTTTCTACTTCAAATAATATATCTGCTATTTTCGTGAAAACCTGTGAATTCTGAGAAAAAAATTTGCAAAAAAATTAGTGAATAAAGGGTTAGTAAGGCTTTGTGAGCCCAAAAGGCTTGGGCTGGCCTGTTAATGTCATAGCCTATTAACTTTCCTTCATGTTTTAGGCCCACTTGTGTCTTTGGGAACATTACAATTAGTGATGGCGAAATCGGCCCGAAACCGTCGAAGGATCGGGACCGGAACCGACAAAGGACCGGTCTGGCCTGGGACCGGTAAAGACTGGTTATGGCTGGTTATGAGAAAGTTTGGAACCGATTAGGTCCGACCCAAGACCGGTTATAGTTGGTTATGAGAAAGTTTGGGACTGATTATGTCCGACCCATGACCGGTTTTTGGCCGTCACTAAATTTACAATTGGTCACTCCCTAATCCCTAATCCTTTATTTTATTTCACGAAAAAGAATAACAAATTAAATTAATTGTTTATGAATAAAATATAAGCAATTAAATAAAATAAATTTATATATGGTTTTTGGAATGATTTCTGACAAAATATTCAACAGGCAAATTTTTATTAAATCCTGCATTTCAAATATCCTTTTTTTTTTTCTTATATTACATTGGAAAATAGATACATACAGATATTAATAAAAATACATATATAAACATAGACTTGGGATTACGTAAGACCAGTTTATTTTTGTGAGATCCGTGAGACCATTTTTTTACACTTGAAACTTCATAGGAAAACGCTGTGAAGTTACCTTCACAGTATTTTTGCTGTGGAAGTTCGGCTTTTTTTTATCTTGACAGTTTTTTTGTGAAGTTTTGAGTGTAAAAAAATAGTCTCACGAAAACAGGTTGATCTCTTGTGAATCCAACCCTATAAACACATACATTATTTGTAGGGTTTGATTTTAATGTATCTTGTGTTAAATAAGAAAAAAAAAATAACATTATTTTCTGTATATATATATATATATATATATATATATATACCTATCTATATATATACTATCTTATTAAGCAAATTTATCAAAAGTTTTAAAGTCTTAAAATACTAAATGACCAAAATACTTTTATACTCACTTTTTCACCTTTTCAACCCTCCTCTCTTCTCCTCACATACACTCACCCTCTCACAATCAATTTTTAAAAATTATAATTTTAAATTTACATTTTATGCTCCTATAATTAATTAATTAATTTACTTTACATCATTTACTTTTAAATGTTTCATTTTAAACATTTATCAAATTAACATACATAATCGTATATCAATTAAAACATGTTTAAAAAATACATTTTTATTTTAACAAGTTACATAATTATAATCATCTCGTTAATACCTTCGAAATGAGTCCAATATTGAATAGTTTTTGACTTAATTA